GAGAGAGAGAGAGAGAGAGAGAGAGAGAGAGAGAGAGAGAGAGAGAGTTATGCCAAGACCGCGCGAGAGCGCAAGAAAGGCCGCGGAGGGGAGGGGAACAACCGGATCAACACACTCATACWCCTAAGCAGACGGTGCCCTAGTTCAGTTTCCCCATCCCCGCCCGGACGAGTACATACACACATACATGCATGCAATCAATAACCCTTGACAGGACATCTAATCATCCATGGACCTTCGACGTCACTCATGTGCATAACCAGCTCCCATCACTCGGGGCTTCACACACACGACATGCATAGACAAAGCAGCAATGGAGATAAAAGCGAGTCCTTCTTGTACACAAAAATTTCAATTAACTGCTGCCCCCCGGCGCAGCCTTCAAAACTTCCCAAGACCACCGACCACCATAGCCACAAGGCCTTGTCGCGGCCGGCGTCCAATCCCCACCACTGCTCAGTCCCTCCGACTGCTTCGCCCCGAGACTACCGCGGGGTCCACCCCACGTCGTCACTCCGCCCGTCCTTGGGCTCGTCGAGCCTGTTCGGCGCCGCGGACTCTCGCGCATAGCTCGCGCAGCGTTGCAGCCGAGATAAAAGAGGAGGAGAGGAGAGGGTTGCACAAATTTATAGCGCGGGAGGCGGCGGGTTAACAGAGCGAGGTGCGAGCAGCGCAGGGTGTAGATGAGCAGGATAGGAGAGAGAGGTGGGGAGTTAGAGGGTTTGACCCGCGGGATTGCATGGCTACGTGATTGGGGTGTTCGTCCAAGTGGTGCGCGGTTTCTCGCTTTCCACATTGATCCGAGCATCCCAACTATGCAGCCAATCACTTCGCGGAGGAAGACGAGGTAAGGATGAAGCTGGGCGTAGGGGAAGACGAAGAGTCCTGCACGGGGTAAGCGCGCGCAGCAAGAAGGGAAGATGGTGCGAGGATGCAAAGCAAGAAATGGGGATGCGAGACGCGCGAAGAAATCGGAGCTTGGGCGCGCACGCAAAAATTCAAAAAGTCCCAACCGCACCCATTTCTTGGTTTTCATACCGAGGCCGCTATTCGCCCGCGGGAGTTATTAACCAAACAAACTGAAAAAGCCGTTTCAAAAAGAAAACAAAAGCAAAAAGAAAGAAAAAACCCTTTCTATCTGCGTCCGTACTTCGGGGCTTCCGCGGGATTGTTCCTCAGGGATACGGCAAGCCGCGCGGTATGGAATTGAGCTTATCACACGTTGGCATGACCTTAGAGTAGTTTGCCCACGACAGATTGTGTATCAGCTGTGCATCTAGCGGCGAGTCCCTTTCCCATCTTTGGGTCACAATTTGGTTGAGGGGCAGGTTTGGGCTTGAGGCTTAGTAGGCCGCTTTAACTGTGTATTCCCAAAAGCTCATGGGTTTATGTCTGGGCCATTCCCATTCGTCTGGATCAAACTGTAGCATTGCCATGATCGACGTGGACGGTTCATACACGTAGTATCCTTTGTCAATGTCCCCCACCACCCTGACTTGCATAAGCCCTGAGGCTCCCCATTTCTCGGTGGCGTCCAAGTCTTCCTCCCTGACAATTTTGGAGAAACTGGCGTCCTGGAGCTGGGGTTGGTAGGCCTCTAAAGAGCACCGGCCTTCCTCGATTTCATGAACTCTATATATGACTTGAGGTCGGGTCTGGTCTGCAAACTTGGCCACCCTGTCATTTTGTTGGATTGTGGGTCCCTTTGTGAGGGCTAGGCGCCAGGCCAGCGGGATAGTCTCCCTTAACTGACAAGCATTGGCATCCACTGACTTGGCGTGTTTTAATCTGCGGTGCAGCTGACCGGTGGTGGCCCAGTCCTCTTTTATCGGGTCCCATAGGTCCCCAACAGTAAAGACCCCTTTCTTTTCCCAGGTGACCCATGGCGAGTTGGAGGTGAGGGTGAAGGGACTGCTTGCTCCATTGAGGATATAAGGGTTACGAAATAACGGCTGCCTCCATACATTATGCCATATATTCGGCGGGCGTTTTCACTTCGGTCTTTTTTTTGTCCAAAGCTTGAGCATGTTGGGCCACAGAGGATCAAGAGGAATATCCAGCTTGGGCCCTGGTGGCCTGCGCCGGGGTGTTGGCTTGTGGCTGCTGTGGGGGGGCGGGTATCGACCAGTGGGAGTTAGTGAGCCATCTGAAAGGGTGCACGCGGGCGGATGCGGCCATTTGCGGAGCCAAATCAGGTATCTGCAGCCAGCACTGCATTGTTGATTGCGAGATCGCGGCCCACTAGGGATGTATGTAACCCGTCTCATTTGGCCAAACGATCAACTGCCATATTCACCAGTGTGTCACCATGATCCGGCGGGGGCCCTACGACCGTAAGCCTCACCCCCAAGATTCGTATGGCCTCTTCATGGGCTGCCCATGCAACACATGGTTGGGGTGGGGGGGGGGGGGCTGTCCTTGGGGGKGGAGTTACCATCCTTGTGTTTTGGACCCCCAATTAACTTTCATATCTGCAGCCAGCGAAAAGAGGTGTATTACTTGAGTGACCGCGTGCAGACTAGTCGCATCTGCCCTAATGAGCACAGTTAGGTCGTTTGCAAACAGTGATGTGACCGGGATGAGATGCTCCGGGAAACCTGGAATCGGTATTTTACTAATGAGAGGGTGTACTCTGATGAGTGAGGCTAGGGCCTCCATGACGATTACGAAGAGCAGAGGCGCTATGAGGTCCCCTTGTCTAACCGATCTTTGAAGCTGGATTGGTGGTGACAAGTGTGCATTTAGCACAATATTTGTGGATGCAGCCCTATGAAGGAGTTGCACCCGGTGGCAAAAGGTTGGACCGAAGTTCATTTTGTTCAAGCACATATCCAAGAAGTCTCAGACTGAGTAAACGTGGTCGTATGCCTTTTCAAAATCGATGAACAAGATCGCTGCTTGGACCCTGCGCTGGCGGGTATATTTAATAGTCTCGTTGACGAGGAGAATGTTATCTTGGATGTTTCGATTGGGCATAAACCCCGATTGATCCGGATGAATCAACATGTTCATCAGCGGTAGCAGTCGGTTCGTGAGGGCCTTGGACACCAGCTTGTATGGGACCGGGAGGAGAGTAATTGGTCTATAATTTCTAATGTCCTCCTTGTCCCCTTTCTTGTAAAGAAGATTTTGGTAATACTGGGAGGCATAGTCTGTTATGGTGTAGGCATTGGTGGCCATCGGGGCATTTTCATTCGACGGGTGTTTCAGCCTTGGAATTGTTGTTGCCCTAGGTCTGGCCTTTGCCTTGTTGAAGAAAGTCCTGACCATTGTGTCATATGTGTGTTCCTCTTTTATTCTGGTCTGGATTCTCCTGGCCTGGGCTTGTTGTTCTATATAGGCTTGAAGGTGGTCCCGAGCTTGCTGCATGCTTTCAAAGGTCGGGCGGTGCTGTGGATCCTCCAT